AAACCCAGTGGCCGTACTATTGAACATCGACTATACCGTTTTGTTTTAACCGATGTGGTCCATAATGCACCGCGACAAACCTCGCACGCGCTGCAAGAGCCTTGTACCGATCGATAGTGCTTACGTATTACTTGTGTAGCCAATCGGATAGGGGGTTTTCGATTGGTCAGCCACTGGGCTATGCTACTAACCCCAAGGGTGCTCCGCTGAGTCGTAATGACGCTGTAATTACATCGTAAAGACGCGGGCTTAACAACATATATTTTAGATCACAGTTCAGTTTTAGAAAGGAATAACACGACTTGAGTTTAATTAAGTGCGTACTTAACTCGCATAACTTGTACCTAACCTAGTTTCAATATCCACAGTATGAGAAAATGCACCCGACAAAAAACTGTTGAAAACATATAAGTAAACGATTATGTTTCTAATTCTAGTTATAGTGAGAAAATACGAGTAGTAATAATAATTTTTTTAAACACCCAAACTCTAACTAGTTAAAAACTTTTAAAAACTATGGAATGGCCAATTCTCTCTGTGAGACGTGCCTGCAGGGAATCATGGTAAGTGTATTCATCATCTCAGACTGGATATTTGTTTTGATGAATACAACTACCATGATTCCCTGCAGCCGCGTCATAGAGGGAATTGGCCATTTGAAAAAGAAAATTAATTACAAAGTATCCTTGAGCTTCCTTTTAAAAACTAAAAAAGGATCAATATCTTTAAACAATGATGACAATGATTGAAAGCTAAGGCTCCCGAATAACCTGATCAGCCGTTCTTTTCAGATTCTGAGTCAACTTAAGGAAATTTAAAGGTCTGTTGCTAAGCAACAGATCGCGTCTACAATATATGCGCTGTGGTATAAACACGCATGTTGGAAAAAAACTTTGAATAATGGCTTGAAGTTTTGTATGCTTCAACATACATCCTCGCAAAGTGACAGTTGGAAAGAATACAATAGCCCTTTCACGGTTAGAATGTTTTCCCATTTGCCTTACAATGTATCCCAACGTGGACGAGAGGCAATTTCGGGCTGAAACTACAAAACAGCCCGAAATTGCCTCCCATCCGTGCTAGCTTATATTATGATGCAAATAAGAAACGGTAACCGTGAAAAGGGCTATTCAATAGGCCATATCCGAGTTACCTTTTGCCTCTGTGTCAAACCGAGTCTAAATGCGAAGCCATTCATATGAAAATGAGTTCCGCCTACAGGTTTGTTTTCATGCGAATCAAAGTCATTTTCATAAGAATGGTTTCGCACTTAGACTCGTTTTGAAACCGAGGCACAAGGGAACTCGGAAATGGCCTATTTAAAAGCTAAGATTTTTTACGATGTATAATAGTTGTGCAACGCTTTCGAGTGCGTGGAATATCCCTCCAGGAAAGTCACTTGTATTTTCTCGGTGTAGACTCCAACCTTTAGGCGAGTGTATATACCGAGAAAATACAAGTGACAAGTAAGATGTTCCATAGCATACCACGAGGGAGCGGCGTTGCATAACTATTTTATACCATGCCAAAGAAAATATAGTAGCCAATAAAAACAATGCGATAAACGCGCGGCGCATGATGGGAAGGTTGGATGTAATACCGTCGAACATACAACGAGCTTTCCTGCATTCTGATTGGCTGTATTTTTCATGACATGAGCGAGATATCTTTCGGAATATTCAATAGTGTTCGCGATATTCTTTAATTAACAAATAAAGAAGCCTAAGCCGTGTATTACGTTGTGATAAAACACGACGGAAATTTGAGAACACGAGGGAAATTTCTCGAGTGTTTTCAAATGTCCGGAGTGTTTTATCACAGTGTAATACACGGGTTAGGCTTCTTCATTTGCTTTATGATATAGAGGTAATGCGGCGAAAAACAATAAAGTACGCTTTGTCTATGTTTTATACTCTGATAAAACATGAGTTTTTGACCAATCAGAGAGCGCGTACGGTCTTATCTATATTGTAATTGGATAATAAAACTCGGAAACCTAACGAGTGCTTCGATTAAAGCTAGCAGAGAGTGGTATTAGCGTGAAGGGTTTTTTGTTTTTGCGTTCTCAGTTCTATTTATGGCAGCAGATCGTTTGCGCCAAATCTTTGCGTCCTACGTGTTCATGGCACAACGCCTCATATAAAACCTGGTATGTGGCGGAGTCTCCTTCACGGTTTCTCCATTTGCTCAACATCTCGCATGCCTTCAACGAAAGGTCAGGGTACAGTTGTGTATTCCTGCTCAAGCCCCTTAGAATTACATGGCTGACTTTCAGCCGGCGCCCTAGCTTCACCCACTCATCCCCAAGTTGTTCGGCCAGATTCTCCATGTCCTCGTCAGACACTTGGCCATCTTTGACTGTGAATCATCAAATGTAGGGTAAGTGCCCTGATATAACACAAATATCTTCTAAGATGGACTCTATAGAACACGCTATAGAATGGTAATTGCGCTTATTAAAGCCAAAAACGACTAACCGGATATAAAGTCGAGTGTTTTCTTATATTTTTCAAGCGTTGTCATTATCTTATTGTTTCTAAAATGTTGAGATTCACAGGAATGAGCGAGACAAATCAAAAATCGATAAATGAACCACTCACCTGAATCGATGCGGGGTTTCTTTGGAGGGCCAGCTGGACTTTGGTCTGGCGAACCTTTAAAAATAGGAAACCATATCAATTTCCTTTACTTCACTTCAAACGCGAATATTGGCTAAAAAAA